AAAGATGGAAAATGACAATTTTTGACCTCAAGGAACTGACAGTCAACTAGGAGGAGATATTGCACGTGCACAATAAAAGTAAAATACAAAGTGTAGTGTGATAGAGACAAAGAAGAAAGATAAACAGATCTAGGAAATTTTGAGAGAGGAGAGAAAGACTTTATGAGGCACTAAAAAGAGCACTGGAGTTGGAATCAGAGGACATGGATTGAATCCTAATTCTGCCATTTCTTAACTGTGTCAACTTGGGCAATATCTTTTGGCCTATTCTCCCTTATCTATAAAATGAAAGGGTGGGACTATATGAGCTTAAGCACCTTTTCAGCTCTAAGGATAGGATCCTTTGATTTATGGAAAGGAGGTATATGAGTAAGAGACTCCTTTGTGAAGTTGTATCACTAGAAGAATTGAAGCAAATATTGAATGCCACTATGCCAAAGGACACTGTAGAAGGTATTCCTACATGAGTGGTAGCTTGTCCTAAATGACTCTCAAGGCAACTTTCAGCTTTAAGGAACCATGTTTGTTTTTTTTGTATCATTATTCTTACCCTCTGAAACATTCATTACTCCTGTTTCCCAACTCACTTTTCCTCTAATTTTTTTCTTACTTTTGAATATCTTTCTCCCACTTTATTCTCCTTGGTTAATTTTTTTTTCATTGTGTATCCAACAGTAACACTTCCATAGCATTTCTCATTTCTCACTGTGCATTCAACAACTCTCTCCTGACAAACCCAGCTCTACTTTCACTCTGGCCTTTTCTTCTATTTGCTCTTAATCCCACCCTTTGATTATGTTCTATGGTTTTACAATCACATATCTTTTTATTTCCTGTTTTTTAGTCATATTTCTTCATTTCAGGCTTCTGTTATGGTTGCTCCTCCCCCATTCCCAAATCATCGAGGCTCACATGTGCCACAAATGTGTGTCATGAACATGTCACATGACAACCCTTTTCTGTCTCAAAAACCTTTATACATTCTTTTGGCAGCCAAACTGCCCTTTTCTTATAGGTTACATACATTAGTACATCTCTTGCCTCCCTGTCTTTGTCCTGTTTTTTCCTCTCATGCCTGGGAGGTACTCTTTCCCCTTTTCTGCCTCTTAAAATCCCTAACTTCCTTCAAGGCTCAGCAGAAACCCTGTCTTCTTCATGAAAAGTTTCTTAAGCTCCTCAGCTGGCAATGTCTTCCTTCCAAAATCATCTTGCATCTATTTTGTGTATCTCTCTCTCTCTTTCTCTCTTTCTCTCTCTCTCTCTCTCTCTCTCTCTCTCTCTCTCTCTCATTCCTTGGCAGGGATTATTTCACTTCTTTCTTTGTATTCTTAGGGCCAAGAACAGTATCTGCCGCATAGTAGGCACATAATAAGTGCTTATTGATGGATTACTAAGAATATTTAAGTTCTTTCTTCTTGTCCAAGAGTTTCAGAAGTGCCATTGCAGAGAATATAAATAGTTAATGCACATTTTTTTTTTTTTTGCCTCTGGAGTGACCCAAGTCACCAGATTTTGATATAAATGAAGGAAGGAGAAAGAACTGATAGGGAACCTATGGCCAAGGAAAAAACATCACTCCATATCGTCCTCAATAGTCAGGCTAAAAAAAAAATTAAGTGATTATAATTACTGTGAGGACACAAGTGATAGTTACTAGGAAATCAGAGAATAAAAGCCCAGAAGTTCTGTGCTATCCCTGGATATACTGTTTTCCCCTGAGATCTGGGAGTTTTTCAGGGACTTCAAAAAAAGGGGGAGAAATGGAGAAATAAAAGACACAGCAATAATGCTCTATATTTAGTGTGAATAATGCATCCATGAAATGGTCACATGTATTTGAATCTGCAGTATTCTAAATTATAATTGTGTAAAATAGGTAATTTGTTCCAGACTAATGGAAACATGCAGTTCAAATATGAATAATGTGAGCATGTCACAGGATTCATTATTTGCACTAATTACAGTCATTTTGAGTTTTGAAACATGCACATTGATTTGGGAAGCATCCTTTTGGCTGCTGAACTCTTCTTTACACTATGTATCACTTACCTGATGTGTCAGAAATTACTTTAAACCACACAAGGGTCTTCTGCCTACAGGAGATTTTAAAAAGATATTTATGACACATTAAGGCCAGATCTTGGCATATACATAGTCTCTACTGTATACCATCAAGGGACAGGAATAATTTCCTGAACTGTCCTATTGGCATTATTTTTACACTGATAATAAAAGAAAATCATATTTATAATAAATAGAAAATATTTATTGTACAGCATTATCAAGATCATTTGACAAAAGGCAATATCAATCAGGCCAAAAGAAAATACTTTTACAAGAAGCTTAACAACTTGTACAAACACATACACTAAAGTGAGTAATTCCTGCCCTTTGGGTATGCTGTATGTATGTGTACATTTCCAATTTTAAGCAATTATGTTCTAAGAACTAATAATATATTATATCTCAAGAAAACTCATACTTGTAATATTAATATTATTAAGTATTCATAATAGAGTTAGTGCTTAAAGTGTTCAAATTTCCTAAATCAAAGACCCAGGACAAATTGTGATCTTACATTATTGGAATAACAGGAAGCTATTTTCCTTATCTAATCCAACTTTGTAAAGACAAATTGGAAAGTACAAGTCCTGTAATACTAAGGACATATGCCAGTGGCATTAAGACAAAATATGTTTGACTAATAATAGATACTGTACCATCACTTGCTAGTTTGCCAATTTGTGGAAATCAACCTAGAAGACATTATGATGTTTCCCTTTTTCTTTTGTCTGCTTCAACTAGCTGAAAATCTGAGATTTGAAGCTTACATTTCAGTTGCAAGGTGCCAAATTTTCACCAAAATTGCTTAAAAATAATTTTAGTTAAGGAAAGTTTATTCAAATTTTATAGAACTGGATGAAATTGGCAGTGATTAATGCCAAAACAGATAAAGAAAGTCAGCAAAAGCACTAAATGGTGAATTAGATAGTGGATGCTGGCCCAATATCTTAACACTGTGGATACTTTTTATAGGGGCCTGGACTGGAATTTGGCTGGAAGAGAGTTTGTTAAAAATGAAACTGGGGATAAGTAATAAACCAAGAGTGAGAAATATACATTCCAAGAACAGGGGAAGAAGTCAGACTGATTATGGATATGTGTTTGGTCCTACTAAAGTCGAATGAACTTTCTAAAACATTTTATTTCAGAAAATCTGTATTGCCGGGAGAAATGACTGGAAAGCAGAATGACTAGCTTATATGTCAATGGACATTAGCCAGTCACAGCTCGTCTCCCAAATAAGTGAACATAAAGGTGCAGAAAAATGCTTAAAAGAAAGACTAGAAAGAAGGCCCCAAGCAAAATAAAAATACTGATAATGACTGGGAAATCTGGAATAGTCTTAGTTGTTTGTGTCCACTTTAAGCACTAAAATGGTAGAAATTTTAAATATCGAAGCAACAAGAAATATTCTAAATACTGTATTTTTCAATCTTAAGTTTTAATACTGGTGTGTGCAAGCAGTATAAAATGCACCTTTTTTGTTGTTACCCATACTTTTTTTTGCGAACATTTAATATGACAAATCCTTGGAGCACTTAAATTATTAATAATCTACCCATATCATAAAACATCTGCAAAACAAACTCCAGTTTAGCAGGGTAACAACTGTCTTAGCTGCATATGAAAAATGTTTGAGAGCACAGCATACAAACCTGCAAAGAGCTACTTACTGTATATACTTATAACAATGCTATATAGAAAACATGATTGGAACATAAAAATATCAATACTATATCTGTAGGACAATCTTTCAGTGGCAGTTGACATTACATTTCACACATAGAGGCACAGGCACACACAGACACGGGACATATTTGTTCACTTCTTTTACAATAACTTTGGCGACAACAGGAAATAATTGCTTTTCAGCTAAAGTAGTCATCTTTGCTAGGAATACACAACTATCTTCAAAGATGAAGCTACTGCCCTAGTAACACAGAAGAACAATGAAACCACATAGTAAATATACTTGTTACAGAAGGTCAATTGGTAAATATTATTTGCTACAGTCAATGTAGGGTAACAGTTTAGCCACAGGATTTGTTCCCGTCAACAAAAGGGCAGCTCAAAGCCCTTGGCACGATTTAAGTTTGACACACAACAAAGGCCCCCAACTCTATTTGGTCTCTGGTTCTGACCCCTTTTCAAAATCAGCAAAAAACAAAACAAAAACAAAACAAAAAACTAACGTGAGAAGTTGAGTGTGCTGAAAGAAAACACTTTGTGGTGACTTTTTTCTTTTTTTTTCCCCTTCAGGCTGTTTTGCCAAATAAAGATAAGTCACCGAACAGCAGCTTGGAGGCACAGAACTTTCTCCTGGTGGCACAGCAAGGTTGACTTGGGGCTCTGGTGGAAAACACTAGGAATTAGGTCCTTGGTTCTACTTCAAATTCTGACGTTGTCATTTGAGTTCCAGCGTCCCCTCGGAGACCCCAATAGTTTGTGCACAGGTGGGACCTCACGTGGGAGAGAAGAGGTGTAGAGAGAAAGGGAAAAGCAGTCAAAACATCTGCTTCCAGGGTAGCTTCACACAGTTCTCTCTTCAGCCAATATGAGTCTTGGCCTCCCAAATTCCTTTGCCCCGCCCTCCCCCCCCAGATGTGCTAATGATTCAATCGATGACTTTGCTTTTTACGGTGGTCTGCAAGTTTATGGATGATCCTGTGCAAGAAGAATTTTAAAAAACAAAACAAAGCAAAAACAATAACATTCTTTTGTTCTCCCTATTGCACAGCTATAGCGTTTGGGCTTGTGCTTTGTCAGAATCCCCTTCCTGCAGCTAGAGCACACTTTTGAGTAATTCAAGCATCAAAGCTCTCTGGTGAATAGATCACTGGTTAGGAGAGAGAACCCGACCCCCACCCCCCACTCCCTTCCCTCTATTCCCTCCCTCCCCCAGTACTTGGATCAGCAACGGATTTGTCCTCCCCGGATTGTTTCTCCCAGCCTCTTCAGCTCCCCTTGCTCCTGTGACTGACCCTCAGCTGCCTCCCCCTACAGGGTGGATGAGCTTTGCTTATAGTCCCTCAGGATGACCGAGGCGTAGGTCACATTTGGAGGGGTGCAGAGCACAGACTCGGACACGGGCGAGCTGGGCACCGAGCTGCCCGAGGCCACCGAGTCTCGGAAGGGCGACGGAGGCGTCAGGGCAGGGGAGGCGTCAGGGGTCAGTTTGCCTGTGGCTCGGAGCCCCCCTTCCTCCTGCTCTTCCTCATCCTCCTCGTCCTCCAGCTCATCTTCCTCCGTGTCACCCCTTTGCTCGTATATGTACTCCTGGAGGAGCTGGAATCGCTCGCTGTCCCCCTCGTCGGCCGGGGGCGAGATAGGCTCGTCGCTGAAGGTGCTCAGCTGCAGGGGCAGCACTTGCTGCTGCGGCAGCGGCAGAGGCGGAGGCTGCGGGGCCGGGAGCTGGTAGAGGGGCCGTCCCCCGTTGCCCGGGATCCCAGGGCCCACCAGCACCGCATTGAAGTTGTTGAAATCCGGGATGCTGGCCACGCCCTGCAGCTGGTCCAGAAGCAAGAGCTCCTGGGGCTGGGGCTGGGGCTCTGGTAGGGGTGGCGGCTGCTGCAGCGGCGCCGGCAGGCCTCGGGAGGTAGCCGGCTCGTTCAGGAACAAGTGGGGCTCGTCCACCACCACGTGGGCTGGGAGGGGAGGAGTGGCGGGGGTCACCCGCCGATGCACCAGCCTTGAAGGGCTGCAGGCTGGGCTAAAGCGCACGGGTGGCTCGCTCTCCTCTTCCTCCACCACGTTGTACAGGGTCTTGGTGCTGATATCTGAAAAAGTCAGGCTCTTGCCCGAGCCTTGGTAACTTTTAGTGAGGGGCTTGATCACCGCTGTCTGGTTGCAAGCTGTCTCGTTGCTCTTCACGTGTACAGACAGACGGTGCCACATGTGCTGTCCCTTGGGCACCTCTCTTCCACCTGGTTCAGACCATGACACAGACTTGCCATTAGAACTATGAATAAAATAAAGATGGATTTATTTGCATAGACATCATGCATAGACTGCATAGCCACATAAAATAGACAAACCCAGGACATAATCCGTGGATGCCTAAACCCATTATTGGGTCCATCCATGTCCTTCTCCCCAGCCTGATCATATCCAACCCCTTTCCTCATCAGTTAACATTTACTATAGTTTGACCATCCTGCTTTCACCTACCCTCCACACCCTCCCCATTAAGGCAGTGGACAAGACTGAGACAGGATAACAGAACAACTGTTACTGTAAACTTTTATAAAAGATATTAAAAAAAAAACCCTCCCACAAAATTCAGGCAATGGCACAATTGGCACTAATTGCAGTTTCTGTGAAAGACTGCATAAAAATATGGAAAGAAATTTTAGAAGATAACCCAAACCTTAGCTTGGAGACTTTAACACATAGGCAGCAGAAGAAAGTCATTAATAGTAACAGATAACCCTTCTCTTCTCATCCCCAAGACAAATTAAGGCCTAGATATTATATTCTATAACTTATCCTCATAAAATTAGAAAGCTATTCACTGAGTTACCAGTTCTGATTTTCAAATGTCTAAATGGTTGACATTTCACAAGGTAGTTTGGCAGGACAGGGTACCTGTGCAGAAGGAGAAAATGACATTTGACAGAAAAAAATAACAATTTTGTTCCTTTAGGAATGGCAGTGGTATTAAATCCCACACAGTTTGAGTTATTCCTTGAAGAGGGAGCACCATCACTAAAATCAACAGTGAATTTTTTTAGGCATGAAAAGGTCCTGATTGAACCCAGAATATGTGTTTGGGCAAGGGGAAGCCAAGCCCAAAATAGTGACAAGTTGCAATCAGGTACAGAATTGAGACCTTATCAGTGAAATCTTTTGGTTTCTCTCCTTTCTGAAAGAAGAACCTCAGGGGCACTCATAACAGCAATGCCACATTTGTCCCTGTTATCATGGAAAGCTTTTGAACAACTTCTTTCCCTGTGTGAAGGAAAAAAAAAAGGAATTTATTATGTGTATGAAAAGTCTATTATTTTTACTGTGATGCCACTGGGAAGACTCTGGGTCTAGGTGTTGTGTTCTGTGTATGTGTAATAGATACTAACACCTAATAAAATTTCTTCTATTATTAATATTGATGGTGTTAATTCTATTTTTTATCCTACCTTAAGAAGTTAAGAAAGTTCTCACAGGCAAACTTAGCACACAATCCAACTTCTAGTGGCAAATATAATATGTGACTTTCTCTACTATAATAAATCATCCTCAGAATCAGAAATGGTATCATTTTCTTTGACCACGTTTGCCATCTCTGAAAGATATCAACCCATTGTTCTTCATCTGTGTGCTTGCAAAATCTTAGCTCTGTGTCCCAATCCATTTCACCCTTGAGTTAATTTGTGGCTTGACTCTGAAGTTAGCTAGTGTTGTTAATAGATTCTCATCCATATGAAATGAAAAGCCCTGAATGCTTTAAAAAATTTTTTTTCGGGAGTTTGCCTCCCTCACACTCCATTGTATTCATGGAAACACTCAAGAAAGCAAAACAATGATATTTGTGAAATTATAAGGAATTTGTATGGAAACTATTTTTCCTTAGTTGCAGGTGTGAGATAGACTCTATGTCATGGTGTGAAATCTTCTGTTTAGAGAAAAAGCTGGCAAGTTTTAATTATTCTCAAAGATGACTTATCTAAGCATTTTTAAATCATAGGGAGAAATACTTCCAGAGACATCCAAGTGTCATAGTTATGATGAAAGTAATGTTTTGACATATGAGATCTGAAATTCCTGAAAAGAGAAGTAAGCCAAATGTGTGTAGGAGCAGGAGCTCTTACATATTTACTAAACAATAGTTAACAGGAAGAATTTTGTTCTTATTTTTTGGATAATAAGTTTGTATTGACCTCAAATAGGACACACTCCCTCCCCTAGACCCTGCTCCCTGAAAATATGACTTATGTGAAACCCAAATGCCATTTGTAATTTGTGTTACTTTTCCATGTGTATGTATACACATATAAGTATAAATGTACACATATGTATATTATATATGACATATGTGATATGTCATATATAATAAGTCTTTTTTTTCCCTTTTCACAGAGATCTGATTTTGAGTACAGCCTATATTAGGTTGAATCAATGTTATAATTCTGTACAATTTATTTGCTCCTCTGTGTTTCATTAGAATTACAGAGTATTCTGTAGCATAGCAAATTGCTTTTCAGGATGATGAGGAAAATATAATTTCTGAACCAGTATGTCATTTTATCAGTGTGAGAACTCCCTCAACCTAGACAGATTCCAAACTACCCGTAGCTATAGAGACCTGCCTGAAGCACCACGAGGTTGAAGTACTTACTAAGCCACACAAGTAGTTAGTATCAGAGGCTGGAATTAAACGCTGGCCTTCTTGACTATAAACACAGTTTTGTACCGTAATACTGAATCTCTTTGTCAAAATGAATAATAATCCTTGGATCATATAAAAATTCTTTCATCTGAGACCATCAAAGTGTTTGTAAGTGCAAAATTACTGAATTCTTTAAAATGCTTCTGCTAGGTAGTTAAGATGTTTTGCTCCCCCTCTTTTATAGTTAGAGGAATGAAGGAACAGGAAAGTGATGTCACTGGTCCAATGAGAAAGTCAGAAAAGGAAATGCAACCCACAAGACTCTAGTAATCTGACTGGATAAGCCATGCTTACCTTTTACTTTAGCATGTCTTATTACTCCATTCCCTACTGTTCTTCTGAAAGTAGTCTTTCTTTCTCCTTGACACCCAACATTTCACCCAGAGAGATTAGAAATCTTCTATTTGGCCTCATACTTGCCTCCATTTATCCTTCACTACCCATCTCACTCCAGTAGCCAACTGAACTAAATTTTCATCTTTTTATATTGTAATGGGGAATATTTCCACACGTCTACATGGTTTCGCTTTCCCTCTTCTCATTAAAACAAAACAAAATATTAAACACAAATGACAGGTTATGTCTCCATTAAAGGAGTGGCGTATAAGAGAGGTGAGGACTTTCCCAGGAAGCCCAGATCCTTTGAAAACTACAATTTGCAAGCATCTCACCCTGCTCTCTAGCAAAGCATCTCATAGGGCCCAACATACGCTGGCAAATGTCTTTATTCTCTTACCAGTAACAGTAAGGTAACCCCACTCACTCCACCCACTCTGTAAAATGGATTGTTTTCCTCACTCTCAAGGGGGTTCTGTGTGGGTCTCTTTATATCACACACTGCTTTAGTCTCCATCTGCTTAGAGTATTATTATATCATCTGGCAGGCAGAGAAAATCACAAGTTAGTTCTGCTTTTATCCAATACAATTTCTATCTCAATGATAAGAGATTATCACAGTGGTTCTCAATGCCAGGTCCTTGTTTACCCCTCTGGATTTACTGTAAATGCACTGTGTAATTAGAGAAAGATTAAGATCCTAGGGGTATTTCTGGAGGCTTAGTAAATTAGACTAAACTCATTTTAGGACAAAAGAAATTCCATTCCATCCACTTGGGGCAAAAAGAAAAGGGGCGGGGCATCATCCCATATAAATTACAGTATGCAGTATAGCTTTAGACTCCTAGATAGAGTAGGGGGGAATTGTATGTGTGGGGAAGACAGGGAGGAGGGATTAAATGAACTCAGAATGATTCCCCAAAAGTTTATTATTCTTATGAAATACAAAGCCTACTACTTCATTTTAATAGCTTGACTTGGCTTTTCTTGAACTCCTGACTTCATCTCTTTTACTCTGTCCAATCACACTGAACTTAGTAGTCTGAATGACAGCAATTTGATTTGGAAAATTACTTTTACTTTCCACAGAGAAGCTCAGCCCTATCTTCCTGACCTCATCATACTTGAACCCTTGGAATCATGCCTATCAGATATAGTGAAATAGCTATGCATGAAGGTGTGGAATTATGATTTCTTTATAATAATTGATATGATATGTGTAATGGATATACTAATTGATTAGATTTTTGAGAATTGACTTTTCTAGCTTATGAGTCAGAAGCTCACAATGCAGTTTGAACTGATCAATCAAAACTTTGACAGCACCCACAATCACTGGCATTTTTGTGCCTGTGTACCTGAAGTGAATCGAATCAGTGTCGAACCTGTTCCCAACACAGAAATCTGGTCCTCTGACTCACCAAGTAATGACCCCCAAAGACTTGAGCAATGCTATTTCTACAGAACTTCAGGACACCTGTACCTTATTATTGTGGGATTTGTGGACTGGTCGTGGGAAACTTTATGGCCCTGGAAATGATTGTTTGTAATCCACCTTCCCTCTTCCATTCTCACTTGTGATTTACATATATAATCTCTGTCTTCAGCAAGGTGGAATTCTGATCAGGAGAATTCCTGATTTTCAAATCTATTCCTCATAATGAAACTAATTAATTAAATGGCTACCTGATTATTAGCACTTTGTCTAGGGCCTGCTGTTTCATCATTCTCAGGTTAGAGGCTGTCTCAGTAAAATCCTGTTAATAAGGGAATCATCTTTCTCCTGAGCTCCACACCCACATCACTAACTTCTTGTTGGATCTTTTGAACTGTCCTTTAGTCTGACTGACTGACTGTCCTTAAGTCATCTCAAATTCAACATGTACAAAATAAAACTTATTATCTTTTCCTCAAAACCCATTCCTCTAACGAACCCCCTTATCACCATCAAGGACACTACCATTCTTCCAGTCACCCACCCAGTTTTCAAATATGATGTCATCCTTGACTTTTCATTCTCATTTACCCCACTTAAGCAATCAGTTTCTAAAGCTTGTCATTTCTGTCTGTACAACATTTCTCCAATATGTGCCTTTCCTCCACTCACAAGACCACTGCAATAGTTCAGACCCTTAGCACCTTTGCCCTGGACTATTGCAATAGTCTCCTAACTGGTCTCCATGCTTTTAGGTTCTCTTTGTTTGAATTTATTCTCCATAAACCAACAAAATAATTTTCCT